ATCCAACCACGACTGTACGGGTTACCGAAAATTCACAAGGAAGGTGTCCCCATAAGACCAATAGTGGATGGCATGGGTTCACCACTACATGAGCTGGCCAGATATTTAGCAGGTATCCTTAAACCACTTGCCGGCAGATTACCCACACACATCCAAGATTCGTACGACTTTGCCAAAAAAGTAGCTGGGTTTCAGATAGAGCCAGACGAAGTCCTGGCTAGTTTTGACGTCAGTTCGATGTATACCAACGTCCCTAAACCGGACGCTGTGGAAGTAGCGAGAAGACTTTTACTGGCAGACGCAACGCTGCAAGAACGAACGCAACTCTCCGTAGACGAGATAGTTGAAGGCATAAAAGTATGCCTAAACTTATGTCAATTTGATTTGACTCAATTATATACTGTCAAGTACAAGGTTTGGCGATGGGATCACCAATATNACAAACCTGGTGTGATCGTGACATGGGCACTCTTTTCGGCATTGTGCAAAGATATGGCGCTTTTGTTCGAGAACAAATTTACATCCTGACTTTGAAATGATTGGAACAGTGTTTGCAGGAAGATTCCGAAATTTGTATAGGTTCAGGATCCGCCAGTATTCTAATAGATAAACGATTTGTCAACACCATACGCGGCCTTAGAAAATGAACAGAAAAGTGAATCCGAGCAAGTGTGTGGTTGAAATCGTTAAATGTGTTTCAACGAAGCGACGGTCTTCTATTGCTCTGCGCTATCAGTACCTGGTGGCGAGGTGATTAATTTGGGTTCATGAGTGACATGCTATTGGATAACACCATTCGGCCGGATATTTCGCTTTTGGCACTGCCTCATCATAATCTGCGGTCAATATGTAGCTAAACCATTTGTTCATACTAGCCAAGTCCAACCCATTTCTGTCGAATAATTGTTTCCCACCCACAAATGCAGCTGAAATTACGAGTCTCAAATGTCCGCAAAATGGCATTCAGGGCTTTATAAAACATGTCTTTGATGGTATCAGAGGCGCAGAGGTTTGGGTGTAACTGTACAAGGCAAACGGATGGCGCGCAAATTTTCATTTGTGAGACAACTTTGCGGACGTTGCAAGACACCCTAAAGAGGCGGCTTTCAGTGGGGATCTAGCCAACTAAGAATCTTCCAAATTGTGGACTACCAACAAAACCAATCCCTGTACATCATGCCGAAGCGGCTTCTGGATTGACATTAGTGTGCAGCCTGAAGCGAGCGAAGAGTAATTGGGCGGTGAGCTTAACAACTATGCTACGCGGCACACGTTAACTCTAAGCGCTTCCAGTGTAAGAACAAGTGAATCTGGTTGTCCTGCTTACTTCGGAGTGCAGATATTGCTCGCAGTCTCATAAGCCGGGAGTGAGGCTTGGAGATTGATTTCAAAATGTCAGAGGATGTCGGCGGCGGAGATCATGTAAATTTTTAGTGCAAAACCGATGAGACATCAGTCCTTATTCCTGGTCTTACAAGGAAAATTTTTAATGGAGTAGAGAGGGGGAGGGAAAAAAACATTTGTGAAGGGAGACGAAGAGAGAAATCAGCTGTATCACGCTCGGTTATCCTCCATGTTGTGTGCAGCAAGTAAGGCAACCCAGCTGACGGCATCATGCGACGACTGATGTGGTATGCGTTTATTTGCATGTGTGGAATTCGTGGTCGTACGTGGGCTGAGATGGGCCCGCACATAGACAGAAAGACATTATCATCATTCTATGCTTTTGGTTTGCAAGCTTGACCAAATGTTGGCGACATTTTAAGACAGATACTTCCAATGGGCCCGCTTGACCAAATGTTGGCGACATTTTAAGAAAAATGTAAATGAATCACCATGGGTAAAGGACACGTTAAGATGCTAGGAGTCTGTGTTGGTCAGTTTGGTTGAAAAGTCCCCTTGTATGAGTGCCCCAGGGAATCCTATAGTATAGCTCACAGAGTCACGAAGGCACACAGGTTGTCACACTACTGCAAGGTTTAGTCTCTCGGTAACGGAGAATGTGTGTCTAATAACTTTATTACGACGTTGAGGCCGACAAAGTCTGTCGCTTACCGATATGTCGGAACATAAGAGGTGTGTCATATTCAGCCCGTATTAAGTGTTGAAGGTTTATGATCTATGTACTGTAACTATTACAGCAAAAGCACATGGTTTTTCTACATAAGCTAAGCTGATGATGGGTCACAATTTTACCGTCCACATTCCTTGAATACGAGCTGACACTGATACTACTCGTACAAGTAACTGAATGCCTGATGCGTATGCAGCTTTTCGGGATTTTTACGAACGTCTTATTATGGTAAGCGGTGGCTATCCTGTTTTGTCACTTAATAAAACAAAGTTAAGTATATGAAAGGAGTGCACACAAACCATCTGGGATGATACTTTTCTGGCTAATTGTCCAGGTCATTTTGTGCGCCATTGAGATGATAAACATAGGCACCTCAAACCACTACCCGAGCTGAGCATATGGCTCAGTTGACGTTCAATCTGTTTAGTCTAATTAGCGAAGCGATGTAACCGTCAGAATATAGCGTAATATCAACCCGCCACGCTGTTGCAATGATGAGAAGAGCACACAGAACCGTGTATATAGAATATTTAAATGGTATTTTTTTCAAATGGCGCTACGGTGGATTCGTACTAAATTTTGTTTGGTAAATTTGTGTATATATGTATTTTGTTGGCTCTTATCTTGAAAGGTAACCGGCCTAATCCTCGCATTTTTATTCAAGTGAACTAAAACCTCCCAACCGGATATTAAACGCACGCACCAGTTGTACCTGGCCCCGATGATCTGCACCCCGCAATTTTCAAAGATTGCGAGTTCCTGTTTAACAATTTGTCAACCTTGTTAAGGAAGATTTGGAATAAAAACATCATTGTATCCGCATGGTATCCTTTAAAATCTAAAGAGCCGTCTGAACTTTTCATCAGACTGATCGATTTTCGAGAGACAGGTTTGTAAGAAAAAACTAGGTTTTGCCCTGGCCAAGGATGAATCGACCGTATTTTTACCTTGAGACAAATTCTCAAGCAGCGCTACGCTTTCAGACGTCTCAACGAGTTTTTTAGTCTGAAACAGCCTTTGACTTTGTCGATTGTCGGATATTTTTATGGTGTCTGCCCTTCAAACGTGTCCCTTCTAAATTTATATCCCTTATAAGGGCACTCTATGCGAAGTTCTGTGCATGCGTGCGAGTATAGATTAAGCTTTCATCTGAGCTTACCACAGCCCTTGCTGCAAAACAAGGCTGTCGTTTCTCACCACTCTCATTTGACTTCGTTATTGACATGCGGTTTGGAATTCCTATCCCGGCAACTGAAACGCCGGTGGTCGTAATGCTCCCAGAAGGTTCTCTCATTGACAGTCGGCATGTGGACGATATTACTATCCTTGGTTTAAATCTTTAGAAGTGCGGACCATTTTAGCTAACCTAAATAACTCTATCGCGTAGTATGGTATGCGCTTTGAACTTACATAGAGTGAGGTGCAGCTACAAGACTGGGTTGGATTACAAACAAACCTCATACTTGCGAGCCAATCGACCTAGTAGATAAATGCATTTGCCTGGTTAGCTATATAAGTTCGGGTGGACTGACCAAAGATGCTAGTATTCCTCGAATCGCGAAGGCCTATGCAGCTTTTTTCAACCTCTAACACCCATGGCACCGATGTGATTTCGGTTTTAATGTCAACAACAGAGGTTGTGCTCCTGCGGTGCAATATATGCTGCTTAAACTTGGCATCTACTCGCAAAAGACGTACAAAAGGTGTTAGTGTTTGACCATTGATGTTTTCGAAGCATTATTCAGGTCTGGTGTGGACATCAGATTAGCAATGAGGAGGTGCATCAGATTGTCTTAGAAAGAAAGAACTATCTCGGGATAGATTAGCCACTCACGCTTCATAGGTTACGCCGGTAAGGACAGGTAATTCAGGTCTGGTGTGGACATCAGATTAGCAATGAGGAGGTGCATCAGATTGTCTTAGAAAGAAAGAACTATCTCGGGATAGATTAGCCACTCACGCTTCATAGGTTACGCCGGTAAGGACAGGTAATCCGCATGCCAAAAGACCATCTGCCACGAGAGCTCTTTTACCCAGCTCTGGGAGTGATTGCGAGGTTAATGGTGGATGACCTGTCAACGAAGTATGAAAACTTAATCGGATCATCAACTGTCGTCTCCCTGCATCGAGATCTCAGGACTCAACTCACCAATAATTAATGACACCGACAGAACTGTTATAATCATGCAGAAAGCGGAGCTCGTGTATCGAATCTATCGCCTTCAATGCGAAGTTACTTAATTCCTGAAACATGCTCTCCCCTCCAAAGCGTAGAAGTTTTCCCGCACTCTCCCACTTTAGGTGATAGAAGCGGTAGCGGCTTGAACCAACGTGCCTGCGGTACACATTATTTAACTGATAAGTTGAATGGTTGAATTGAATCGTTAAACTTGAGTCTCAAACTTTTTGTTAAGAACAGCAGAAAAATGAGAGTACATTGCAGCCGGACTCCTTTAAATTATCATGTGACGGGCTTTAGTTTCTAGTACTCTTGTCTGTCTCTTGTTCTGCACTCATTGACGACGTGAGTACCCAGAAATTAGTCTGAAGCTTTTAAGGGGTCGTTGCATAGAAAATATAAGATTGTCAAATTAACTGCAATTTTTGGGTTATGTGGTGGTTGAATACAACCAACTTACCACAAAACAAAATTACAGGCAGGATGTTTACGTCGCTTTCATGAACTCATATTATGCAGGCACAATTTTCAGTTTGCTTTCTGTTTTACAAAAATCGAACTCACTCGTCGATTAAGCACTTTGCATACCTTATTGTAATTTATTTTATGTGCAGTCAACCACAAAATACCATTTCTATAGCAATAATTTTCTGCTTCTTTTGTGAGCTCTCTGGAATAGTATTCCTATGTTACTTACTATCATAGCATGTGGGAAACCCAGAAATTTGTTTGTTCTAATGGTGTATATTAATTGATTATTAGGACTAAAATAGTGAACGTTATGCCTCCACAAGTCAATGTTGAGGCGTTCCGTTGATGAGCATATTTAGCTGCGCAACCACTACTCCACTGACACAATCCACCACTGCTCACCAACTTCATTCTGGTGCGATTTATTTTGTCTTTCACACTGTCAGTCGTTTACGCTAATTACTGCGAATGTTCTAGCACCTAAAACAATATTAGACCAGCAGCTCATTCCTAATAAAGTTGGTCGACTTGAACTCGAAATTTACAGGGACACTTTTTTTTGACTTCACCTACTCCTACAAACACCAAGATGACAACACTAAGTACTGATTCTCAACCAGCATGAAAGCTTGC